GATTAAACCCCCAAATCATTCCCCCTTTGGCTTGCTAACACCCATTAAACCACCAGAAGAGACATGGACAGACTTGAGTATGGATTTTATTACTCACCTGCCACTCTCACAGGGCTCTTCAGCAATACTTGTGATTGTGGATCGATTTTCCAAAGGTGCTCACTTTGTGGCCTTACCACCACGTTACACAGCAACCAAGATCGCACAGGTGTTTTGGGAGTCGGTGGGAAAACTTCATGGCCTTCCTCGTTCCATCATTTTCGACCGTGACCCTTTGTTTTTAAGCAACTTCTGGACCACCCTCTTTCATCTGCAAGGAACTACATTACAATTCAGTTCAGCTTATCACCCTCAATCTGATGGGCAAACTGAACGCGTAAACAGATGTGTGGAACAGTTTTTAAGAGCTTTTACCTTTGATAATCCCTCTTCCTGGTCTCGTTACTTAGCTTGGGTCAAATATCACCATAACACCTCTTTTAACAGCTCCACAGGCTTGACACCATACCAGATTACTTTTGGTCGTCCACCTCCAAATTTATTGGTGTATACTCTCGGATCTTCTTCCAATGAAGCCGTCGATGCCACGTTATCTACTAGAGCCACCATCCTCGCCACAGTAAAGGAGAACTTACTCAGAGCTCAAACTCAAATGAAAAATCAAGCAGACAAGAAACGCAAAGATAAGATTTTTACCGTCGGTGAGCACGTCCTACTGCGTTTGCAACCTCACCGTCAAATGTCTGTTCAGCGTCGATCTTCTCAGAAACTCGCGTTGAGATTTTATGGTCCCTTCGAAGTGGTTGAGCGTGTTGGTCCGATTGCTTACCGTCTAAAGTTACCACCTTTGGCTCGCATTCATCCAGTTTTCCACGTATCCCTTTTGAGGCCTTTCAAATCTGATCGTTGTTACCAGATCCATGATCTACCCCAGGCTAACCGTGACAACCCCATGGCCCATACACCAGCAGCAATTGTGGGAAATCGTGAAGTTTGGCGAAAGGGAAACAGGGTAGCACAAGTTCTTGTGCAGTGGTAGGGGTTACCCCCTGAAGAAAGTACGTGGGAAGATGCAGACTTGATAGTCACAGATGGACCGCATAGTCACACCCGCGAGGCATCAACGCTTCCTTACACAGAGCAGGCCCAAGGAATAATAGAGAAAGAGGATGAGTTACGAGTGCTTAACAAGGAGAGGGTGAATGAAGTGTTTTCTCCCCCTTCGAGACTACATCCCCCTCTTACAATTAAGAAGCATCTGAACACTGAGTCAAGGGAACTGGTCCCAAAGACTTTTCAGACTGCATCAGTTCCCAAACAGCCAATGCATGTGATACCTACTCCTGCTATCATTAATGCTGACCAGCTACTTCCCAACTACTCATCTACTGCACACTTAGTGAACCCCACCAACAGTTGTCCTCCTCTGGTTGGACCGCTACTTCAGCTCTTATCTCCTAGTGACCAACAACAACCTCTTATCCTTGAGGACAAGGATTTGCTGGAACCGAAGGGGGATGTAACGGACCCTTATGATGAGATGGACCCAGGGACAAGGAATCGCAAGAAGCCTGACTATCTCAAGGACTATGAGACCAATTAGTATAGTCGTGGGTCGTGGAGTTAACTGTGTGACTTTTATTTCTTTTATGTAATGGAACAAACTATTTTTAATTGCTTAAGGGGTAAGGCCCATTATAGGTAGGGCAATATATGGTTGCCACAGACAAGTGTTGGATTATGCTGAATTTGAATGAATTTTCTTCCTACTGCTTCTTCTACCTCTATTCTTCTCATCTAGTCTCTCTCTAATTCTAAAATTCCCAAATCCAATGTTACATCATTAGTATAGTCTTACCTAACGGCTTAAGCTTTTTAGTTGAATTGGTTCATTACAGATATTTCATTTTAGATCATATAAGGTAGATAACTAAATTTCAAGTTGAGTTGAAATGAATTGCTTAAAAATTCAATTTAACCTTCTAAATATTAATACATAAATTTGATACTTAAATAACCTTTTTTTGCAATTATTAAAAATCATCCATTGAGAATAACTTTATTTTTATTAATTTTTTCAAGAACCAAATCAATGTTTGAACATTTTTTGATGACTAAGATACAAATTTACGATATAGCTTAAATATATTTTCATTCTATATAAAATACACTCTTTTTTTGTCCTTGTATTCTTTGAATTTTCAATCCAATTCTTATAAATTCTGTTCTTCCTGTTATAACCTTTCGGTTAAAATTCCTCTCAAGCTAGAACATCATATTTTACTATGTGCGAATTAGTGTGCTTGAGCCTATTAGAGTTGTAAATACGTGAGAAATGTGTGTGCACACCTTATACATGTTGTGTCCGCGTCCTATAATATTTAGCATTCTGTGTATCCCATGTGAGTCGCGTATCTGTGTTAGTTTTTGTGCTTTGTAGCATGTGATGCAAGTGACCTCTTTGCCACGTGACTCCTTTTCTTTTTTCCACAATTTCTTTTCTTCAACTTTCAACCCTATTTCAACTTTCCCTTCCCAAAGAAGCAAAAGAAAACTAAGCTTAAAACTGTAATAGATTTAGAGATGCAAAAGAAAATTTTCTTCATAACATTTATGTGATGCCAAGTTAGTTTGTGTATAGCCACAAAATTTGGTAAGAGGGGGCAATAATTTCAAATTCAACCAATTTAAGTAGGATAACACAACAATAGGTTTACTAGTAGCCAAGTTTTTTTGTGTGCATGAGAAATAACAAGGATGAAAGAAAACCAACTTATGTTATACTATCTTTCTTTTAAGTTTGAGTGTAGTCTTAAAATAAAAAACTTTATGAATTTGGAGGTGATTGTCTCTCCTAGTCCCTCCTTAGCTCCGCATCTTTTGAGAAGCTAAGACATTCTCCAAATTTTTGTAAACTTTATTAGCCTTACATATTCAATTATATTCTTAAAACTTTATCATATTTAGGAGCTCATCTTTAGTGCAGTAGTAGTATGTACTATTGTCATTGAAAATTAAACACTTGTTTTTAATTTTTTTTTCTTTTCCATATCATCAATCAGCATAGGTGTTTAATTTGTATTGGAGGGATGTATAGAGAAGTGAGTAAGACAGTAATATTGTAGAAATTTTCCATATTTAGATATAAATATTTTTTTTAGTAATTAAAATATTTGTTAACACTCAATGTTACTGAGAAAATAACAATGGAAAGAAAAAACAATAAAAGAAATGGATAAACTTGTCTCGTTATCATTCAAGTACCTCTAAGGATCATAGTAACTGCCTTCTATTTTTTCCTACATCAAATATATGTTGCAAAGCATGTCGGTATGTTCTAATCCATCAAAAATGGGACGGGTTGACCCACTTTAAAAAATGGGTTAAAAATATCATTCCACTTTGTTATATGATGGGTTAACTTATTTATTTAATAATAAAAATTTAAAATTTAAAATATATCTTATTTTATGAGTTTTATAGTATTATGTTATCTAATTCTATCACACACTCTCGTTCATTTGTTCCTATCACAGTCTAAATGTAAGTTAATGCTATGGCTGATAGTTTGTAAAAATTCATTTTTGCCTCAATATATGAATAATCTTTGTCATAAATCAAAAAATTATCTTTGTTTTTCAATAGAGGAGGCCAGAGATAAAAATCTTGTATATGTTTGCACACAAAAAAATCTTGAATATTACAAAAGTTTAGCATGACAAATGAAACACTATATTCTTACACTTGAAAAAAACTTGAATGTGATAATAATAAAAAATTGACAAATGACCCACTTTAACTTAATTTATTACATGAAGAATTAGATTGGTTCACGAGTTAAAATATTCAACCCAACTCCCAAAAATAGTCCGGTTAACCTAATAGGTCAGTTTCATTTTGTCACCCCAAATATAAAGAATTCATTCTTATGTGAGATTAAAAAAATACAAAATACAAAATTTATGTTATAATTGTAAAAAAAAAAAATTAAAGAAAAACTCGAATGACTATATGCAACTTGGGGCTTTTGAGTATGAGAAAAATATTTGTCCTTTTAAATAACATAATTTATGTCATTTTACTCTCACAAAAAAGTGAGACTCTCATCTTTATATTTTTTTGTCCACTCTTTCCTTTTTTATCTATCTCTTTTTCTCAATTAAAATAATATCATTTTACATCCTTTAAAATAATACACATTTAGTATTTGTAAGGTTTTATATATCAAATCTGTAACATGAAAGCTCACAAATACTCGAAAGTCACTCCAATCTTTCTCTAAAAAGTATTTACTATAATAGTGAACTCATTATATTAAAAAAAAAATTCTCTATACTTGAATGACAATATGTCAAATTGATTATTTTCTTTATTATTTTTGTTTTATTTTTTTTTTATTTTTTTTATTTTTTTAATTAAAATACTTAGATAAAATGGACTGTCTTACCATTAATTTTAACAGTTTTTCTTAGCTATTGTTCTCTTTTTTTTTTTTTTCTTTTTTACCGTGTGTAAAAAATTTGGTATTTAATTAGTTTTCAGGAAGCTGGGAATGGATTTTTGTAAAGTATACAGCAATATGCTCTTTGATATTATTTTTTTCATTTTAATAAAAGAATAATTATTTTGTGAACCTTTATGTTTCATAAAATTGATAGCTAGACTACTGACGAGTTGTTTTGTGATAATTTAATCAAGCTTTTTATAATCAAACTAGACTACTGGAAGTCTCACCAATCACTTTTTTTTTTGTTTTTTTAAATGGGGGGTCCCACGTCAGTTGTGTCTATAACATGATAGGAATTCTTTCCTACAACACAATATCTATAAATCCCTTTATAAATTTATAAAAAAAAATTATAAATATAACATGCAATATAGTAAGCATATGCATAATCCATCCAACGAATAAACTTTGACACCATAGTCAATTCAAATCAAACAAGGCATCACTACAGACATTGCAATTTACAATGACTGGTTGAACCGTTGAAACACCCACGATCGAGGATGAACCACGATATCATAACTTGCTTGGCCCGAATGTTTCGCCCCAGCCCATTTTCCCTGCAGTACCCAAAACCCTCGTTCCTCTTTTTTCTTTCTTCTTCTTCTTCTTCTCTCTCTCTCTCAACAGTAGCACTCGATCAATATATTGGAAGCCATAGCCAGCACACGCTCTGATTCATGGCTTTTAGATGAGAAAATCCACGCCCCTTTTCACTCTTCTCCATCACATTCACATTCACAATCACAATCACAAACACAAACACAAACAAAATCTTCTCCTCAAACCCTTGTCTTCAATTGCTTCTCTTCCCGAACAACCCCACCTACCCGATCTCCCTTCCCAGATCTTCACCATCCTATCTCGCCCCCAATGGCGAAAAGATCCATCTTTTAATACCTTAATCCCCTTTCTAACCCCTACCCACCTTTCTTCCCTCTTCAACCTCAACCTCGACCCTCTCACTGCCTTGAACTTCTTCAGATGGATCCACCGCAAACACGGCTTCAACCACACCGTTCGTTCCTACGAGCCCTTGCTCCTTATTCTTGTGCGTAATGGGATGCTTCGTGCTGCCGAGAATGTTCGAAATTCCATGATCAAGTCCTGTGCTTACCCCCACGATGCAAGGTTTGTGTTTAATCTTTTGCGGCGAATGAACACGACTTGTGATGACCAACTTGCGTTTAAGCTTTCTCTTACTTCGTATAACAGGCTTCTAATGTGCTTGTCACGTTTCGTTATGATTGATGAATTGAATAGTTTGTATAAGGAGATGTTGGATGGTAGGATTTTCCCTAACTTGATAACGTTTAATACAATGTTAAATGCTTATTGCAAGTTTGGGAACATAGTTGTGGCAAAACTTTATTTTACCAAGTTACTAAAAGGGGGTTTTAGTCCTGATGGATTTACATATACTTCACTGATATTGGGTTACTGTAAAAATCAAGATGTGGAGAACGCTTATAGAGTGTTTGAGCTTATCCCTCAGAGGGGATGCAGGAGGAATGCAGTTTCATATGCAAATCTTATACATGGTCTTTGTGAAGCTGGGCGGCTTGATGAGGCTCTCAAGTTGTTCTTGCAAATGAAGGAGGATAATTGTTTTCCCACGGTTCGAACTTATACCATTCTCATAGGTGCGTTCTGTGAGGTAGGTAAGGAGGTGGAAGCTCTGAATTTTTTCGAGGAGATGGTGGAAAGAGGTTGTGAGCCTAATGTTTATACTTACACTGTGTTGATTGACTACTTCTGCAAGGAGAGCAGGCTGGATGAGGGGATGAAAATGTTGAATAAAATGCTGGAGAAAGGCTTGGCTTCTAGTGTTGTACCATACAATGCCTTGATTGCTGGGTATTGTAAACGGGGAATGATGGAGGACGCCATTGGTGTTTTGGGTCTGATGGAGTTGAATAAAGTTTGTCCAGATGCTCGTACTTATAATGAACTGATTTGTGGATTTTGTCGGAGGAAAAGCATGGACAGGGCAATGGCGCTGCTTAATAAAATGTTTGAAAGTAAGCTGTCACCCAACCTCATTACTTACAACACATTGATCCATGGGCTGTGTAAAGCAGGTGTAGTAGATAGCGCTTGTCGGCTGTATCATTTGATGATTAAAGATGGCTTCAGTCCTGACCATTGGACTTTTAGTGCTTTTATAGACTGCCTCTGTAGAATGGGCAGTGTTGCAAAAGCATATCAGATCTTTGAGTCCCTCAAGGAAAAGCACGTCGAAGCAAATGAACTTATATATACAGCCTTGATCGATGGATACTGCAAAGCTGGTAAAATTGAAGATGCCCATTTATTGTTCAAAAGGATGCTTGCCGAGGATTGTTTGCCAAACTCAATCACGTTCAATGTATTGATAGATGGTTTGCGCAAAGAAGGGAAAATGCCAGATGCAATGTTGTTGGTGGATGACATGGTAAAGTATGATGTGAAGCCCACTATTCACACATACACAATTCTCATTGAGGAAATGTTGAAGGAAAGCAACTTTGACCGTGCTAATAGGATTCTCAAACAAATGATTTCATCTGGATATCAGCCTAACGTGGTCACATATACTGCATTTATTAAGGCATATTGCAGCCAAGGAAGATTGCAGGAAGCTGAAGAGATTTTGGTCAAGATTAAAAAAGAAGGCGTATTGCTTGATTCCTTGATCTATAATTTATTAATTAATGCATACGGATGTATGGGACTACTAGATAGTGCATTTGGTGTTCTCAAACGCATGTTTAATACTGGTTGTGAGCCTTCTCGACAAACATATTCCATCCTAATGAAGCATCTAATGAATGAAAAACATAAAAAGGAAGGAAGCAATCCTGTGGGACATGATTTAAGTTCAACTAATATCTCAGTTGATGATGCAGATATATGGAAAATAATTGATATTGATATCACAAATGTGCTCTTCGAGAAAATGGTGGAATATGGCTGTGTTCCTAATGTAGACACTTACAGCAAGCTTATTAAAGGACTTTGCAAAGTGGAACACTTGGACATGGCTTTCAGATTGTTAAATCATATGAGAGAAAGTGGAATCTCTCCCTCTGAAAATATTCATAATTCTCTTCTAAGTGGTTGCTGCAAGTTGGGAATGTATATGGAAGCTGTGAGTTTGTTGGACTCTATGATGGAGTGTAGTCATTTACCACATCTAGAATCCTTTAAGCTTCTCATTTGTGGGCTATATGGACAAGGGAACAAAGAGAAGGCTGAAGCTGTTTTTTGTAGTTTGCTAGGCTGTGGGTATAATTACGATGAAATGGCTTGGAAAGTTCTAATTGACGGCTTAGCTAAGAGGGGATATGTTGATCAATGCTTAGAATTACTGAATCTTATGGAGAAGAATGGTTGCCATTTACATTCTGAGACATACTCTATGTTAATTCGGGAACTGAATGGAAATTAACACGACGATTATTTATTTTGCCCTGGAATGGAACAGGGGAAAAGAGGCTTCCCATTGATTTTCTTTGTTGATGACTCTGGCTAAAGTTGTACAGATAGTCAGATAGAACACCTGAAATTTTGTAATACATTTTGAATGAACTTACTCTGTCTCAGCAAGTGAGCTGCGAGCAGCTCTTTTCTACAAATGCAATAATACTTCAGAGTCGCAGCCAAGTGTAACTGTGACAATCATACAGGTTGAGAGCGAACAGCAGCTGATGAAGAGGCAAGTGACCATTTAAATTCTTACTTACATTGACTGCATTCCTTTATTAGTTTCACCTAAAGCCTCAATATAGATATGTAATTTCACAGTTTATCTTAGACATATTGATGCATTATTTTTGTGTCAATAATTCATCTTGCATTATCTTTCTTGCTACTTTACTAGAATCAACTTCTGCATTTCAAATTTCTATTAAATATGAATTTTTTTTAATTATTAGTGTTGGTAAATACATGTTCGTGCTCAAGGTATTGAATAATATTGATCATTATTGGTAATAAATGGTGAAACTTTTGTCGTTGAATTTATTTCTTCATTTTTTGTTGAATGTAACTTTTTGGTTGTTTATTGAGGTATATGAATTTGCTAGTGGTGTTTTTGCAGGGGGGGGATGGCTTGTTGGGTTTAATTAGCAAGTTAATGTAGGGACATTCATATAAATACATGAAGAAGCGTGGAATTTTCAATTAGATTTTTTTGGTACAACTTTGTGTTAGATTTTTCTTTAGTTAATGCTCATGGTTGTATAATGGGAAAAGCATTTTTTAGTTGATAAGGAACCTTTTGGCACAACCAATTTGAGATTTTGCTTGTCCATTCTGGCGCTGTGAATGGATAAACTTATGCTGTTGTCTTAAGGGAGTTTGATGATTGGCTTATCTATGTGGATGTCTCAGTCATTTCTGTTCAATATAGAGGTGTAGCTGATAGGGACTCAAGATAGAGAACAAATATATTAATAAGAAATAACTGGAAGCCTAGCACCTTACAGCAGAATGAGATCCTGCAAATTCTTGGAATGCAAAGAAAAACTGGAATAAAGAAAGAAGACACTGTAATGGACCCCCTAGAGCCTGACATACCAACCTTTAGGATAAACTTACCAGTAGGGGTGTAAATGGGCTGGGCTGGGCTTTGGCCATCCTGGCCCAAGCCTACGTCAAAAAAAATTCAGCCTATCTGGCCTGCTGGCCTATTAAAGGCTTTATTTGTAGGCCAAGCTCGGCCCATTTTCAAAAATAAGAAAGCCCGACATGGCCTACAGGCCTTGTAGGCCTCCCACTATATATACTAAGCAAAAAAAATAATTGTATAGAGCAAAGAAAGCTCCATTCATGCATGCACTAATACTTCTCATAAGAAAAAAATGACAAACAAGAAAGAGTCAACATACTACCTCAGCTCTAGAATGTATATCATAGAGGAATAGAGTCAAAGAAATGGGAAAAATATGAAAAATACAATTACTGGATGCTGAAATAAAGTCTACAAGAGAATGTCATTCATTTAAAAATCTTTAAATCACCATCAAGACAAGGGAAAGAAGAGTATTATTGAAAGATTTTCATCAGCAACATCATAATCCAGCAAGGTACCCATTGCTCTATGGTATTAAGCTGCAACAGCATGTAAAATTTGGAGACATTAGACAAGTTTTCCTTTCATAGAATAAAATAGCACAAAAAGTAAGAGATATTAGTATTTGGTACTTTGTGTCTTTGCCACATAAAATACATATTATTTTATTATTTTATTTTAATAAATTAAATAGGCCAGCCTACAAGGCTGTAGGCCGGGCTTGACAAAATTGGCCTATGGCCTATTTATTAAAAAAGCTTTTTTATAAGCCTAAGCCTACTCTATTTTTCTGAAAGGCCGGGCCTGGGCTGGGCTCAATGTAGGCCGGGCCGTAGGCTGGGCTGGGCCAGCCTGGCCCATTTACACCCCTACTTACCAGACTAGTCTGCCCAAAAAAGCAATTGAATGACCTGTAACCTTTTTTTTAAGCAACTGCGGATTACCCCTTCAATTTTTTTCATTGGTATTCTTGGGGCTAAGGTATCTACTCTTTGCAACTCTTGTGACCCACAGTTGAAGCTGTGGTAAGACAACCCAGAGATTTTACTAGTTCAACGTCTTCTGTAATCCCTACAACTATGGTTGCAGGTTCAAGAATATATTCCAGTCCAAGATCCATTGGCATTAGCAGAATGCCAGAATCCATTTCAAACGTAGTAGTCGCTGTGGTAAATGGGAACCTAGTATCCTATCATTGTCTGTTGGAGTAATCAGTAAATGCCTTTTGGATTAATGCAAGGTAGAACCACTGTCTTGATTCTTCTAGAAAATACTTAGGAAATTTCTGCTCAATTTTGTCAACATAAATGAGTAGTTGAACACGAAAGAAGATAAAAGTTTGCAAGAACAACTGAAGAAAAAAATTTGGGTAGAAAACTTACGCAAGATTCTATTAAATATTGTCCTAAAATAATTATCAATTAATAAACTGGAATTTATCATGTGAATTTATATTTGTTTATAGCTCCTTTGCTTGTCAATTATGTTCTTTTTGAAGTTTGACTTTATGATGTTGTGGTATGTTAGCATCTAGTTTATTTTTTATTTATCAATGTCCCTATTGAAACTGAGCACCTAATGGCACTTTGGCATATATTTAAAATTTATTTCAGGTTATACATTATCATTTGCTAGTCATTAGCACGTTCTGAGGTAATTTTAGCTATTACATTGATTTTCCGTTTTATAGAACACTTTCATTTTGATGTAATAAAAGGCTTTTCCCCTTCTTTCAAGAATGTATAAAAATAGCACTATTTGTGAGGGCGAAAAAATTGTGAGGCTGTATATCATGATATTCTGATGTGAGGAAAATCGTAGAAGTTCCATACTTCCATCAAATGAAGTAGTTTGCTTTCCTGGCATTGCCTCTTGCAGGCAAAACTGCAACATCTCTAGGTGCTTTTTTTTTTTTTCAAATCCCATCATTATCAGGGTGGAGTTGTTTTCATGCTTGTGATTCAGGTTCTTTTTAGTATATAATTATATATGCAGCTACGGATGTGGGGAAGATGTGTTTTATATGTTGATGGAGGCAGCTTGATGAATTCAGCATTTATTTGTGGGATGATATAGGATTTTTTTTTTTTTTTTATATACATGATTGTTCGTTGTACATGAATTACAAATTTGTGATGTTTTTATGTTTATGATAAATATACATGAGTGAAATAAAAATTTACAGCTAAATTTTATGTAAAAGAATTTACAGATTCACATATTGGAAGTTATGTAATCAAATCTGAATTATTCAAAAAATAAAATAAAAAAATAGTGGAATCAAGAGTAGTTTCCCATTATGGGCATAAACAAAGAAAATAGTCGCCACTTTTATTCCAAATCAGTTGGATTCGACAGTATATGAGGAAAATTCATATGCTATAATTTCTCGAAATAAATTACAACAGTATAATTTTGAACAATTTAATGGATACGTTGGCCGTGTGTCATCTACACAATTTTCACTTTTCAAGCATTTAATTCGCATGAACCTTGTACGGTTTGAATCATATGATATGGCCATAAAGGATTAATCAAATAGTAAGCATATTTGAACTCAACGTTGATTAGTCTCACATAAAAAGCATAAATATCTTGTAAGATGTTATACAAAATAAAACTATCTTTTATATACATATAAAAATATGAGTTTTATGTGGAACCATGTAAAGATAAGAAGAAAAAATATAAATTTTATATATTTTTATGTGCATAAAAAAAATAATAAGGCTCATTTATTATTTTTATGTGTATAAAAAATATAATAAAATTAATTTATTGGATAAATAGGAGGGAAGTCTATGAAGCACAATAAATTTTTCTTCCAATATATGTCGATATCATAAATAAATAATCACAAACATTAAAGCAGACTAATAATCCAACAGGTGGAAAAAGTAGCAAGGCTAGTTACACATTTCCGGCTTGTCTTTCGAGTATACAGAAAGCGTAAGCCAGTGAAGCACAGTAAATAATCACAAACGTTAAAGGTGATATATGCCAACAAAATTTGATCTATTTTTTTACAGAACATCCATTAAGGGAGCAATGAATTGAATTATATTTGATCCAACATGGTACACTTGCTATGGTGCACCATGTGTGGAGTAATATACAAAGTACACCGAAGAAAAACCTTTATCACAATAAAGGCCATGACAAAATTTGGCATAGACGATACCAAATTCAAAGGGTCTCCAGGGATGCTCGCGTGGTGCACTAGAAAAGCTATTTGCCGGTGGGAGAAGTCAGTCTATTTTCCTCGGAATCATGCTTCGTTGTAGAATCCCCACCCATCAATTCCTGGAAGCCTTCCACCTTCACAGGCGGGGCTCTAACCATGCCAATGTTCCTATGTACAAACAATAAAACAACAAATTCTTAATGAAGATAACTTAATAAGCCACCCTAACAGTAGCATTCATTTAATTGAAGTAACTTACTGCGACTGCATTTGGGGTATTTGTAGGGAACTCATCTGTCTGAACTGAGTGTTAGATTGAGGATGGAAACTTGACATTGCAGCCAACTGCTGCTGCCTAAACTGCATTTGAGGATGTCTGGAATTGAAGGCATTACCATCAATTGGTAAATCTGATGGGTTTTCAATCTTGACTTGAACCAATGGTCTTTCCTTATCTATATCCATAGCAGGGCGGGGAGTAGATGCTGAGCGCCTTCTGATTAACTGCTGTTGCTGTAGATGTTGTTGTTGCTGTTGTAAAAACTGCTGCATCTGTGGATGTATCTGTCTCTGCATCTGAACCTGCACATTCACAATACATTGGGTAATACTTCATTGCAGAAATCATTAATCAAGCTTGCAGCGAATATATTTAAAAGCTCTTTGTGAAGAAAAAGATCAATCAGGTAAATAGAGGATGCAACCTGCCACAAGTGCACTAAGAAACCTGAAAGGACACAAGCAGAATTTTTTTTTTCAATCAGCCCAAATTCTCCTCCTTCACATGATGTAATATTGGTGAGGGGAGCAAGGCAAATGCATTTTCTTAATGTATAATCCAAGGTTCAGAAACTCAAAAGGATTAAATATTAAATAACCACTATCTCCATCTGCGAAAAGTGGAAGAAGGGGGACACGGAGACATTTCTCCAAAGCTCAAATTTAGAGCTACTACCCAAATGGGAAGAATGAACCTAATAAATCACAAAATATAATAGCAAAAAGGGCCGACCCAGTTCAAATACCCACTTCGTGAGTGTCTGGGGAAGGGAATACTCTAGGCAGTCTTTCCCCTGTTTTTTGCAGAGAGGCTGATTCGAACCCGCGACCTGACACACCACGGCAAGCAAGCTTACCGCTGAGCCAAGCCGGCCCTTCTACACAAAATATAATAGCAATGTAAACAAAATGAGATGGAATGAACAAATATAAATATGACATCATGTAATATAAATTGAACATGAGGCAAAAAAAATTGCAGCCATATAGGTTGAAGACGGTATGTGAACTGCAGTCTCATACTACACCTTAAGCCACACTCGGGCAAGAATCATGACAGGTTGCAAGGACACACATGACACATTTGTATGCAAATATTATGCAACCTATAGAAAATTATTTTTCGATGGACGCAATAAATAATAGCAGGTCACTGGTCAAAGCAGAAAATCATATTTAAACTAGAGAGGCACAGGGTAATTGTTTTTTAAGAAGCACCAGGTAGGCATGTACCTATCCTAGAAAAGTTAAGGGTTTCCAAAGGATTCTGATAAGAACCTTGGGATGCATCAACCCAAAAACTAGCTCGAAGAGTGGGAGTACCCAAGGCCTTATAAACCCCACATTAGTTGCCCATAAAAAAAACGTGGGACTCCAAGTCCCCTCGAAAAGTTAAGGATTCGTAATCCTTTTTGAAAATTCAAAATCGAATGGATTCGGTCTTATACATACGCGAGGAAGGTAATCAAAAAAGAAAGAAGATGAATGGATCCTACAGATTCTAAATAAGGATTTTCTGTGTCTCCCTGCCTGTGCTATGATTCATGTCCATGCTTCACGCTAGAGCTTACAACATTAAATAATGCACAAAGAAGTAGATATAAGTACTTGCTGAGGTAGCCGGAGGGAACCCTGCTGCTGTGGCTGCACCTGTGGCTGAATTCCATGAACTTGTTGCTGACTTTGTTGCACAATATTCCTGGAGCCATCCTTAACCAAATCCACTAAAGGCGCAAAATTACTGTGAGCAAGAGGGGGAAATTTTAAAATGGACCCATTGCATGTATAAGATATCTTGATTTAAAAGCAAAATATAAATCAGGGTAATAGTGCCTACAAAATGCATGCACAATACAGTTAAGCATAAAAGAGTTCACATTGCTATAGTTTTTTGTCATGTATTCCTTTCCTTCCTCCCCCTCACAGATTTTTATTTCTTAAATGTTTATAAATAAAGTAGTACACTAGTTAATTTTTCATAACATGAAAAATATACGGGGCACAAAAGCTCCCCAACTTTGCGAGAATAAGGGTGAGGGTCAATTGTACATACGTTAAGCTTGTATTATTTTAAAAAGACCGTTTCCTAGACTCGAGTGCACAAAGACTCCCTCACTTTGCGAGGGTAAAGGTGAGGGGTGTTGATTGTTTGTAGTCTTACCCTAGCATTTTTTCTCAAGAGACTGTTTCCTAGACTTAGAACATGTGACAAAAAAAAAAAACATGTGACTTGGGATCACAAAGGAGCAATATTACCACTACTTACTCGAAGGCTTGCCCTCTTTCATTACATGAATAGTAAAACATAAACTGTAGTCTTCGAGCATTCACCTTAATACAAATATTCAGTAGGAAATTGCTTTTTACAGGATTCATAAGGTGAATTTGATACAGGCTAACAAAGCAAACTTGGATATTCAAAAATTTGTTTTCACAAAACTTAACACCGACTTTTTATTTGTTATTTATTTGTGAGGGGATGGGGGTTCTTTTCCTTTTAGATAATTTAATTTCCAAAAAGAAACACAAAAGAAGAATTTGAAACTTACCTAAAACCCACTGTTTTAAGCAACATCTTTAGAAGTTCAATGGCCGAGCACTGTTTTCTATAACTATCAGCAAGCACTTTCAGATTTGTTCCTATTTTACAGATGCGATGGCTGAGTACTTCAGAGAAGTATTCTACTGGAGTTTCCATGGCAGCATCAAATCCCACACCTAACAAAACACGTGCTACTACCTTTTCAGACAGTTTCGAAGCTTGCTCAGGACCAAGAAGCTTGTTATTTCCCTCAGGTCCAAATTTCCCACGGTTCAAGCTTCCTCCATGTTCCATATTAAGGTACTCAGGCCTAACACCAAGTCTCTCAATCATAACAGGACTCCTAGTAGGAAGAGGAGGCAAGGCATCAAGAACACCAAACAACTTCACCTTCTGGTTATTTTCCACTCTGTTAATCGGTGGAAGTGCACTGTCGGGCACACAGTTAAATGCAAACATCATCTCTGGAAAAATAACGGAAGAGTCATCATCAACTAAATTACCATCATCAACAAGCTGATCTTCCTTAAACGCCACACGCCTTTTTTTATGATTATTAACATGCATAAGATAAGAAGCCATCTCAACCGGTGAACGCTTCTGCGATTCTCTGTCCCCAGGAAGAAACTTCTTGGTAGCCTTAAACTTCTCGATGCACTGATTATACCATGTTTCAGGCAAATCAGAATCAGCATATCTTGATCCAGAGCCAGAACCTGATTTCGATTGATTCTGCATTTACAAGAAGCATGAACAAACAATTGGTAAAATTGATTTTTTGTTTTGTTTAATAAATTAATTAAAAGAGAAGATAATTGACCTAACCTTAGAGGAAGTTGGAGCATCTTCTAGGGTGAAGTAAATGTCATCGGCGTGCAAATGCAGAAAAGATGGATTGAGGCGTGAAAGAGAGGGAGAGGGATTGGAATTCGGGAAGAGAGAAGCGGAAGAGGCTTTATCGAAGAGGAGGGCACGGACCCTGAGTTGAAGGTGAATGTGTGCCCTAGAATTGGAAGGGTGTGTTGTGATGAAGGAATCCCAAGCAGAAGGAGAAGCGAGAGAGCGTGAAAAGTTGGAGTAGGTGGAATCGCCAAGCCACGTTCGCCATACCCCACACGAGTCAAGCTTCCGCGCCAGCTCGTAACCGCGCCCATCCTCACCCAGCAGAGCCATCAATTACACTGCCACTGCAAACGCTAGTCTAGTCTCTTCAATTTTGAATCTATTTATATCTCCCTTTAACTGGGCTTAGGGCTATGGACCTCATCCAACTCCCCTGGCCCATAGAAATATCGGATAATAAGGCCCGTTAGATGCTTATAATATATTTATAATTACCTCCACGCCCCCGAGCGAGACCTTGCACTTTTCTCGTGGGGACAAAATCAAAATATCATATTTTGAAAAATAAAAGAAAAGTGTTTATCATTTTAAATGACAGAAAATTATGTCATTTTAATAGAGATACAGACACAGAAAATTTAAATTTTAAATTAAAAAAAATCACTCACTTTCTCTCTCCCATGATTTCTGTTTTTCTGTGTCTACCTCTCTCCTAAAATAACATAACGTATGTCATTTAAAATAACAAACACCAAAACTCATAATTTACTCAAATGTCAAAATGTCATATTTTACCTCCACGCCCCCGTGCGAGACCTTGCACTTTTCTCGTGGGGACAAAATCAAAATGACATATTTTGAAAAATAAATTACTCATATGTCAAAATGTCATATTTTAGAAGCCGTTGTATGGATTCAATTTTTCCTTGTCAGAAACAACGTGTTCAAGACTCTTTTTTCCAACAACGGGTTTTTGTTTGCACTTATATAGTTGGGTTACTATTTTCTCATATCTCACTTGGACATGGATTCGTTGTCACAGAGAACGGGTCGGAAAGCAGGTCATTGGTCCAAAGAACACGTGATAAACTAAACTCACTAAAATTGACAATATATTTTGAAGAGTAAATAACTTTTTAGTCCTCAGCAAATTTCACGATGTCCGCTTTAGTCCTTAACAAATAAAAAGGCTATTTGTGGTCTTAAGAAATTCAAAATGGACCTATTTTATTGAAATCGTGGTCCCTCACAAATTCAAAAAAGATCTATATTAATCCCTCAAAAGGACTAAAATAGGTCCATTTTAAATTTTTTAAGGACCACAAATAGCATTTTTATTTGCTAGGGACTAAAGCAGGCATCGTGAAATTTATCAAGGACCGAAAAAGATATTTGCTCTATTTTGAAATATGGCATTTTGGCAAAAAAAATTTAGAATAAATACCATTTTTAGTCCCTGACAATATCCACGAAGCCATTTTCAGTTCCTAGCAATAAAAAAGGGACAAATTGGTCCCTGAAATAACAAAAAATAGGCCATGTTCATCCTTCCGTTAACTCCCACCTAATGACCCAACTAACGGTGCACAGTTGACACGTTAGTTTGCTGACGCGGCTTGAATGTGGGACACCGTGGAAGACAAGACGACGACCTTTTGGTCCCTGTCAAAACCACGAGGGCCATTTTGGTCCCTGTCAAAATGCACGAGGACATTTTTAGTCCCTGACAAAAAGCACGGGGCCTTTATTAGTCCCTAACCAGAGAAAAATAGGCACATGACTTTATTGCTTTTCTATGCAGTCCAATTTTGCAAAACAGAAGTGCATTACATGAGGAACATGTGTGCAATCCATTTGTTCATCACAAAGTAATTAAACTAAATTTCATCACAAAGTAAAATACTCCTTCTTGGCATTTTATTTCAATGAAGTTTGTGTTTCTAACTGAAGTTTCGACCTTATAAACAATTATTCATTTCTTTTTCAATGCTAATTAAGCTTCCCAGTTTGTTAAAAGAGATTCTTGGCTCTTGCAAACAGCTTTTACGATCCCTAGAATACTATGAACTGCTTTAATTCTCTTAGTCTATATAAGACATAACGTTATGCGATTTACGAACAATATCTTCAGTAGAGTAGCATTACAATTATACTATTTATTTATCTATAAAAGATAATTGTATGATTGTTGATATTTAAATACAGAGAAAAATCAAAGAAGAAGCTAGGTAAATGATTGTTGATAATTGCAATGCATGGCAGTTGACTGGACTACAGCAGTTGGTAGTTCTCAGCCACATGAAGGCAACTTGAGAGGAAGCAGCCCACCTCCATCAAATCCACAACAGGCAAATGAGCTATTGAGTAATGAAACAATGAATGCAGCAACCAGTGGCACACGAAGCAGATTATTGGCCTTCATGAGCACACCTGGTTTTAGGCCACCAAGGCCTGCCTCAAGAAAATGACATGCTGCTGTATATGACCTGAGAGTAGTGCATGAGCCAACTGAGAAGGGTTTATTATTATGTGACTGACTTTTTTTGAAAATTCTGGCCATTATGTATTTGGAGGCCTTATTATGTCAATGTTTTTTTTGTAAATTCTGGCCATATTGTATTAGAGGCCTTTCTTTTAATTCCTGACAGTTGGCTTTATTTTGTAATGCACTACTGTACATTCATGTCTTCAAATATAATGATACTCAAATCATGTTCCAGCTATTATGTTTCACAGGGTTGAGGAATGTTTAAGTTTACCTTTTTTGAAGTTTTTTAATTAATATACGTAGTTGTAGTTCTTGTACATCCATGTCTTCTGGTTTAACAAATTGGACTGCATACAAATCCAATTTAATGACATGTTCCTGTTTTGCAAAATTGGATTGCACTCCTGTTTCTGATGTAATGCACTTCTGTTTTGCAAAATTGGACTGCACATAAAAACAATGAAGTCATGTGCCTATTTTTCTCTGGTTAAGGACCAATAAGGGCCCCGTGCTTTTTGTCAGGGACTAAAAACGTCCTCGTGCATTTTGACAGGGACCAAAATGGCCCTCGTGGTTTTGACAGGGACCAAAACGTCGTCGTCTCGTCTTCCACGGTGTCCCACATGCGTCAACAAACTAACGTGCCAACTGTGCACCGTTAGTTGGGCTGTTAGGTGGAAGTTAACATAAGGATGAACGTGACCTTTTTTTTGTTATTTCAGGGACCAATTTGTCCCTTTTTTATTGTTAGAGACTGAAAAAGACTTCATGGATATTGTCAGGGACTAAAAATGACATTTACTCTTCTTTTTAAAACGTGGCATTTGGGTAATGTACTTTACAAAACGTACTATTTTAGTTCTTGTCCCTTTATCTTATATGTAAAAAGGGAGAAAATATTTCTAATTTTGTTGTAGAAATATTTTTTGTCACACTTATATAGGGGTGTTAACGAGCCGAGCCGAGCCGAGCTTTGGTCTTAACGGGCCGAGCCTGTGTTCAAATGTGTCAGACTGGCCTTAGCTTGTTACCTGTTACGAGTATAATATCAGCCTATGGCCTGACTTATTTACAAAAAATAAAAGCCTTGTTTAGCCTGTTTAAAAAAAATAATACAACAAAAATTTATCCAAACAAAATATACAATCAACAGCACTAGTAATTCCATAAATATTCATAAATTTAATGTATATCCAAATAACATAATATAAAACAAAATCATTTAAAAAGTCTGTTTAATTAATAAAATGGGATGAAATGAATTGAGAAGAGAGAAGGCATTCACAAGTAGTATAAAAAATAAATAAATAAATAATATATTAGGCAAGCCTGAGAGGCTCTAAGGCCGAGCTTTTGAATTGGAGCATGAGGCCTTTTTATTAAACGAGCTTTTATACAAGTCCAAGTCTGGGTTCAACAATCAATTTTAGACATGTAAGCTTAGACCTTCACGAGCCGAGCCAAAGGCCCCTGACTCGTTTAGCACCCCTACACTTATATAAAAGTTAATGGATTGTAAGGAGAATAATGAAAAAATAATAATAAAATTTACTCACTTTAATATGATAGTCGCGAGAAAATATTTCTGCTACAAAAATAAACATGGAAAAAATATTTATCCTTTTAAATGATATAACTTTGTGTCCTTTTAGATCATAACCGTTGATTTTCGTCAATCAACGGCTAAGATTTATTAGGTCAAATTTATTAATTAATTAATAATTCATAATAAAATCTAATAAATCCTAACCGTTGATTGATGGAAATTATCGGTTAGGATCTAAAATGACATAAAATTATACTTTTTAAAAGTACAAATGTTTTCCCTGATAAACATAAACATATTAAACCTATATAAAAATGATGTTATAAAAAAAATTCTTTTTACGCTTTTCATTTATCATTACATTTAAATATTATATATATTTTTTAGCTGTAATTTTAGCTTTGGAAAATCCTAAACCAGCCAACACGGATAACGTATCTATTACAAATGAAATGACAATCGCATGTATAAATTGCTCATTCAAAAACAAATAAAATCAATGATAATTCTTAAAAATTATTGAAAATCAATTTATTTAAACCAAATCAACGTGTTTGATTTTCACCAATTTTGGCTACTAAACAAATCTATGTACCTAATCATGATGTGTGGTAGTTGTGCTTAAACACCCATAGAGTAGTCCTCGTAGTGGCAGCAATGTGCGGGAGAGTGACCATTTTGTCACGTTTGGACAAAAAAAATTACCAGACTGTCACGCCAATAGTAAATTTTGTCAAAATGCCACGCGGCATAATTCGCTACACAGTGTAGCGAATTATGTATGCAAGTAATTCGCTACACAGTGTAGCGAATTTTGCAAAATTTGACATGTGACATTTTTGGTTATGTGCATCCTGACGTAGCGAATTTTGCAAAATTTGACATGTGGCATTTTTGGTTCTGTGCATCCTGACGTGGCATATTTCGCTACACTGTGTAGCGAATTACTTGCATACATAATTCGCTACACTGTGTAGCGAATTATGCCGCGTGACATTTTGACAAAATTTACTGTTGGCGTGACAGTCTGGTAAATTTTTTGTCCAAACGTAGCACTTTGGTCACTGTTCCGCAATGTGCTCCTCCGTGCACTCCGGTGGGAAAGAGATACACCTGCAAGACACTTTATCGCTTAAGTCAGTATTAATCATAATTATTGTGTGTTAGGTAGAATATTTACTTGATAGCATTGTTCCTTGAATGAGGATGAAGACCCTTCATATACTGTGGTTGCTAATAGTTCTCAGAGAGACTTAAGGTGTTTTCCTTTGTTAATGAGCCTTAGGCTTAATGGGCGTAAGCTA